TCTCCCCATGAGAACTCCAATACGTGTCTCCTAATTTTGCACAGAATCTCAGAGAATTCACAGCCATGGGCCCCACTTGTGAAGCCCTGCTCTTAAGTTAAGGCTGAAACCCAGCCGCAGCCATCTGGTCAGGCGCTCCTCAAGGCCTCGCCTCTGTAATTCTCGACCCAGTGAGCCCAGCCCCTTGAGCACCCATTTTGCTGTTTAGACGTACAATAAGCCCCACCTCTCCTAACATCGTACTTGCTCAGATACAGCACCTGACAAATTTTACAATGCATGTGCATAATAAAAAATAAGCAGTTACCACTACCTGGAGGTTCTGAGATCTTCTTCTTTCTCGTGCTGATGTTTCTGGATGGTTTTTCATTGATGATAGAGACTTGCTATCAGGTCCTTCAAAGAAATGACATTGAGGGAAGCACCCTCTCTAGAATCCTCCTAGAGCCAAATAAGCAACGAATTTCCACCTCTCCCGCTCCAGGGTAGGCTGTTTCATATTGTGTGAGTATAAGAAGAAAGAGAACCTCGTTAGAGGCCCTTTTTAAATCGGCGTGAACACATTCATGTGAAAACCATCCCAGGGTTTGGGAGTATGAGAGAGAGGGACTCGCTGGGAGTAGAACCTTCTTATCCACAAGGAGTGGTGATGAATGGAGTCAAAAAAGGAACTTGAAGTACCCATGTTGGAAGACTAAAAATGGAAATTCAATTTCCTCTCAGAAATGGGCCTTGCATTGTGTCCCTCGGGACAATGGAAATAGAAGCCAGAAGTCATAGTTTATTTTGAGAATGTTGTAAAACACTTGTCCCCCATTAGATGATTGTGTTACGCAGCACTGGGGACGTCCTGGAACTACACGTGTGCTCTGACCTCTCCCTCTACCATCCTATACCACCAGCCCTCAGGGAACACAGCCCTTCCTGGCTGTTGCCATATATATATGTTCTTATTCCAATCTGATCCTCTCTCATCCCCAAAATAATCAGCATGAACAGAATGAAGCAGATGGCACAAGCCTTCTTTGGCACGCTGGCAGATCTGTATCACTCACTCACTATTTTTAGAATCAAGGGGATTGAAAATTATGTCCTGAGATGTTTTGGGGGAAGACTTACTATCTTTCCAGGGTGACAGGTGTTGAAATATTGCCATATTGAAGACTCAAATGCGATCTATATGTCAAGTCACAGAAGAGGCTGATGATCATCAGGACCATCCCTTTGTCAGCTCGCTGTTAGGATTGTTGGTGGTTTGCCAGATAATAGAAAGTTAATCACAAGTCTGTTTTAAGGATGTGGCCAGAAAGCGCATCGGGTTTCAACCCAAGATTGGAATCAGCAGCAGCCCCCCGGTGCTGGTCAAGTGCGTGATGATGGGAGATGTTGTATTATCCACACAGTTGATTTTTTAAAAATAGCTGAGCTTTGATCCTCGGCCACCACGAATGTATAGTCTGTTGGGAAATACTATTTTTATAGAAGTTTGTGATTCTATCATGAAAACAGTAATTATGTATATTGAAAGTCCAATTAATGAAATACACAGTTATGGTGAATGAATTGTTTTTACTATTTGTGAATTTGAATTCATTATTAAAAAAGACTTCCTGAGGAAATTAAAGAGTGTTCACTATCATATGAGTCATTCAGTTCAACATTTGAGGACCAGCCTTGCACTCAGCGTTGGGCTAGGTGTATTTAACACACAGACTTAAATCTCAAAAAAAATAGTCTTGGGAAAAGACATTCATGAAATAAGTTAAGTATAAAAATTTTTAAGTGACTTAACTTTTTTTGTTGTTCTTTGAAAGTTCAATGGGGAACAAAGAGTTGGAGGAAATGTATCTCATGTTTAAATAAAATGTGGCCGTTGTCTAAAATTCCCTGATTATAGCCGCCATCTTTGAAGGCCCAGGGAAACGTAGGTAATGATGATAACTATTGAATCTAGGGAATGTGAATCTAGGGAAGTGGCTGGAAAGTGGATCCGGGAAAACTTGATTCAATGCTAAAGGGCAGGCACTTTTTAAAAAATTGAATAGATCTTATTTTTCCTCTTACTCTTGGTGTGTTGGTAAGCAGTCAAGGTTGATATTTGTTGAGAAACAACGAATGCAGGTTTATTACTTGCCACCTAGTGTGTCCTTCCTGTGTGTGTGAGCGTGTATATTATCCAGGCTAGTGGTTCCTCCCAGTGTGAGTAATGGATGGTGAATTATATGGAGGGAGAGAACATGTGTCTTTTTCCTTTATATCCACAGCTGAGTGGTTAGAACCATGTGCCAGTGTGCAGCCGATGGCTTCTACTTTTAATCCACGTTTCCTAAGTACTCTCTATTTGTGTGGTGTGGTGTTAGATGACAACGTGCTTTCAGCTCCATCTTGTTTCCGTTGGTTTCCCCAACAGCCTGTTTACATCTGTGGATATCACAGATGAGGGAACGGAGACTCAGGACATAGCTACTCAGGGGGCAAGCTGGAATTTGAACTGGGGGATCTTCCCGCTATATTCACAGAACAAGTGAAGGGATCCACACAAATTCCCCCTGTGCTTCCAGGATACACCAGAGGGTGAATCAGCCACATAGTTGTGTCTGAAGGAGAGCACAGCCTTGCCTTCACCTCTTTTGACAGTGAAACCGCAAGTCCGCCTGGCTGTCCAGTATAGCAGCCACCAGCCGTATGTGGCTATTTAAAGTTAAATAAAACAGAAGTTTCAGTTTCTTAGTGCTACATTTTGAGTGTCTCTTATATATGACATTTCCATCATCACGCAAAGTTCTATTGGACATACTGGTCATTTCTCAGAAAGCAAGAGCTAGGGAGAGCGAATTTATTGAAAGAAGTTGAAAAAAGTATATGGAGGGGGTTGGTGTAGGTGAGAGAAATATAAAATCCTTACTACCAAACCAGCTCCTTCTCCTGAGAGTAGTGCTATTTTGAATTCAGCTATAAAGAGAACAAGGAAAAGATGGATTTCAAACTTCATATTGTGTGTACATCTTCATCTTTTTTAATAGACCTGGAAAGAACACAGAGACTTCAAGTGAATGTATCTACTTAATGATGATGATAAATTCTCAGCCTTTTATAGCCAGGCCGGTCTTATGGCCAGAGTTAGGCTGCATGACAAGTAGGACACATCATGAGACCTGGCAGCAAAAACTCGGCCACACGGGATGGAATTCCTGGAAGGAATTATTTTCTTTGTGGCCAGGGTTGTTGGGGATGCCTCAGGCATGGACTGGATGACCATGAGGGAACCAGGACACGGGGAGAGGGGTTTGGGCAGAGCCAGGACGGGGGCTCAGTTCAAGCCACACTTGGCCACAGAGGAACAAGGTATGTGCGTGCTGCCATCAGAAAGAAGGTTTGGTGCCAAGATGCTGGCTGAGAACGCCAGTGTCCCTGGCTTTGGATCAGTGCTGCAGCTTCAGGTCAAAGTGCACACGTCAGCTCTGAAGGTTCCAAGCAGGTGGGGCCAGACGGTGCGGGGTGTCTGCCTGGTGCCGGCTCCCTGCGAACTCTGACCAGACGCTGAAAACATCTGAGCTGGTTGACGAGGAACGCAGGACGTGTGCTGCGGTTTCTGCCCATTAGAGAAGGAATGCGTGTTTGTTTAGGCGCATGTGCCGTGTGCTGGTATCTTTAAAATGCTTGGACTGTTAGAATAAAATGTTATCTAGCTGGACTCCAGCTTTCTGATCTGAAAGCTACTGAAAAGGTAAGTAAAAATTAACTTTTAACAGTAAAGAGCAACTCGAAAGACTTGGCAATAAATGAACGGGTGCAGGAAAGAGGTGCCTGGAAGACCCGCTATGGTTGATCAGTTTCCCGTGAGGGCCCGGCTCACCTGACAGAGTTCAGGAGAGGCTGGCCTGTGTACAGAAGCGACTCCAGTGTGTTTAATGCAAGCAGATAGGACTCTGATTTTTTTAAGTATTGGCACTTGAAAGGTAGTGTCCACCACCTGAGAATTGCTCTGTCTAGAACAGCCCAGGATTCTAGGTGGCCAGGGTTTACCGTGGCGTTCATGATGCTGCCTCAGACTCTTCAGGCTCCTCAAATGGCGGGCCAGTGGTAGACAAAGACGAGCCTGGTTTTTGGTGACTTGGCCTAGGTTGGAAGGTGGAAATGATTTGGGTTTGAGGCAGGTTGAGGTTGAGGAGGCAGCAGGCCCCCTCCTAGGAGTGGCCCCCGACAGGTAGTTGGGCCTCCAGGGTGGGGTTGGGGAACAAGGAAACGTCCCCGTCACCGAAAAGGGAAGAGACTCGGGGAAAAGTTTACTAGAGGACGGAGCCTACACATCTACAGGCGGCCTGCGCTTTCCCCCGAGCCATCAGTTTTGTTTCCCTGGGACTATTCGGTCCCCGCTCCAAAGGCACCACGTGAGTGAACTAAACTAGCTTTGAATCATGTTGTTGACATCGTAGAGTCGAGTCCTTCTGCGTGGTAACCTTACAAACAAATTAACTGAGATGTATACAAATTGCTTCGTCTCCTGGAAGTTTAAACAGGTGTGATCAACACCTTCTGTTGAGCTAACAAGTGAAGAGGAATAGCCCGTGGTTTGCATAAGCAGGGATGGTTTCTGTTTCTGTATCAGTAAAAACACTGGAACACTCTGGGGAGTTATTTTTGCCTTTGAATTGGTCAGTTGAGCCTCACTCTGACCTGGAATTGTGGTCTGAAGTAGGTAATACCGCGTCTGTGGAAATTGCTGTCTCCATTACAAAGCAAAGTGCTCCATCCACCATCAACACACTGCGTGCTTAACTGCTCACCACTCAGGAGCAGCCACTCAGGAGCAGCACAGACGGGTGGATTTGTGCGCGGAACCACCTCTTAAAGCACTCGGGAGGATGGAGAATTGGGCTGCATTAGAGCCGTTTACAGGAGCACGTGGATGCTGGGTTGTTGATGCTGAGCTGGTGGGGGAGGAGAAGCGTTGTTTTCAACTGACTAATACAAGAACACTGTTCCTCTTCTCTCCACAGACAGTCTGGTGGTCCAGGACATGCCCCGGCTCTAGTGATGCAGATTTCCTTTCTGCTCCTGGCATCTCATCTGTGCCTCAGCCTTTCTCCTCCCTGCCTGAGACTGCAGATAACTGGGAATGTGGGAAAGCGGGAAGCAAAGCTAGGGGGAGCTGAGAGGCCCGTGTCTGGGTAGAAGCAAGCCCAGGACCACAACGCTGCCTCTCCCCTGGTCTGGAGTTCAGTTGCCGTGGCTCTGCTGATGTGCTCAGGACCAGCCTTACATCTGTGCTTAAATGGCACAGCATTTGGTCAGCGCATCTGAAAAGGAAGGTGTGAGAAGCAAAGCCCATGGCCACCTACCCCTGCCAATTATGTGGCAAGACGTTTCTCACCCTGGAGAAGTTCACTATCCACACTTATTCTCACTCCAGGGAGCGACCGTACAAGTGCTTGCAGCCAGACTGTGGCAAAGCCTTCATTTCCAGATATAAATTAATGAGGTGAGAGGCTTGAGCAAAGGTACGGACTTTTACACGTACCTTTCAAGGGCTCTGTGGGCCCTCAGACCCAACACTGCGAGGGAGAAGGGATGCGGAATGTGGACATATTTCAGCCTTGAAAGCTGTTTCTCTCCAGTGATTTACGTAGTTTTATGTGACAGTTTTACTGGGCAGTGTCAATACATTCTTTCAACAAATATTTCTTCTGCTCCTACAATATGCCAGGCCTCAGAACAGAAAGATGAAGAGACCCAGGGTTGGGGAGACAGTCGTGCAGACACAATTAAAATGCAATCTATGTGCGTTGACAGGGCCGTGTGGGTGGAGGCACTTGTTCACTGCTTGCTGGGACTGGGAGGAAGGCTTCTCAGAAAGGCACAGTCTTCAGCTGGGACATAAAGGGTGAATAGGGGGTGGATAGAGGAGGTTCTGGCCGGAAAGCGCCCTTGTACAGAGGGTAGCATTGGAGGAGAACGGGTGAGGCAAGGAGGAAGCAGCCCCTAACAGGTCTCATCCACTGTCCTGAAGGGTCTGTTGTAGTCTAACGAGTCCAAATAGCGAAACATGGTTTGATTGGGATGTTAGAAAGATGACCCCGGCAGTAATTGGGAGACGAGAGAAGAGGAGAGTAGACCAAGTTGCTGTCTGTTGTAATAGTCCAGGTGTGAAATCCAGAGGTCTCATCCAGGTCTTGACAGTGAGGATGGAGAGGAGGAACACTTCCAAGTGTCAGCTTTTGGAGCTGTTTCTCAGCTTGGCTCTAAAACCCACCCTAAGGAGTGGATTCTGTTGGGGATACAGCTGCTGAGTGTGTGCATTTAATCAGGTTGCCAAAGGCATCCATGATACGCCAAAGGATAAAAATCACTCCTAACAGACAAGTTGTTTATTTTTAAATAGTGCATTTAATGTGCATGATTTCTTGAGTGTCTGTTAGTCCTCACTTCCATGAGGGAAGCGAATATATGAGATGTAGCTTCTGCCTCCAAAGGATTTTTATATCATAGAAAAGACAATATACACGACATCGATAAGTTGTGCGGTAGTCTGATTGACAGTGAAAGCTGTGTGTGCTGTGTGTGTGGTACCCTCAGAGCTACATACATAGAACTCCCACTAACGTACACGTCTTGATGCCTGGTTAAGGGAAATGTGTCATTTGCCTCTAATCTTCATGAAATGAACCTTAATGCTTCAACTTTCAGACTCCTCACATATAATTGCAGAGATGAGAGTCAAAATTTAGCAAGAGAAGATTTTTATCTGAGTGGCATTAATATGGACCACATTATTATTAAATCTTGGAGTGCCCCTGGAGGAAGGCACCTGAAAGTTAAAAAAATATGTTATGCTCCTGGCCCTCAAGAATATCACTGTTATAGACAACGTAAATAATAAGCTGATTTTTAAAATAAGCCTATAAATGCTTATGTATTTAAAAATTCAAATGTGTTCTGTACTCAAGCCAATCTCTAGTTACCAAAAATATAAGTATGGAGTGCCTACTATGTGCACCAATTCTGTTGCAAAGCGTTCCTGTTTTGTAACAAGCTTCTTATGTGTACACAGCAATTATCCTTACCCGAACACTGAAAGCAGCACTGGCTGCAGTGAAGCCACAAGGAAGATATTATAACTGTGGATCAAGACCAAAACACATATAGGAGATAAATATTTGGAAAAGACAGTGGAGCTAACAGATGACTGGAATGACAGGAATTAGGTGGGATTACTGTGGTAAACCGCACCGAAGAAGATGTCTTAAGCAATATTTAGGAGGTGGTGGTTCCGAGCAGGGGAAACAACTTGCTCAGTTAAGGGTGTGAAGTGAGGCGGAAAAGGGAAGCCGTGTACTTGGTGCAGAGCCGCCTTCTCTGCCAGCACCACTGCTTGCCTCTCCAGCCTGAAGCCGTGATCTCATGACCGGAGAGGAGAGGGGCGAGAGGGCAGGATGCTTTAGGTTTTGCTGTCTTCAAAAAGGGCGGGATTCCGTCCCATTTCCTTCACTTGCAACATAAGCTCCATTTTATAAGCAGAGGTCGAAGGAGAAAAGAACTGACTTGCTTAACTAGGAAAGAGAACGTGAGAGCAGTCAGATGGAGAAAGCAGAGGGAAGAAGGATGACTGGGCAAGGCAGGCTGGAGGCCCTGGTTGGAAGTCTTAACGGAAGTTGTTGCCCCTGAAGAATTCTAAGGTCACGGACATGATCCCGATGACACCCCAAGATGGTGGTATTTGGTGCTGACTGTAGGACAGACTGAAACTGGGGGTTTCCTGGGTTGTGACGTAAGAAGTTGAAGGAAGGAAACAAGTCATTGAAGTAATTTCAGCTCTAAGATGATCTTGTTCTAGATTGGGACTGTTGCATGAGTAAGGAACAGATAAATTAAAAGGAGAAGAATGGAATGCCAGGCCAAGGACAGAGTCAGAAAAACTCAGAGGGATGGCGGCTGGTGAAATGTGACAAGTGTTATTGCTCAGGTACCGGTTGTGTCAACCTGTGCCTTTCCCATCGGTAGGACGAGAGTAGGACAGGAAAGAGGTGTAGGAAATACCAGGTCCAGAGTTGTTAACGTGGCATTGATCTCCCCATGGGTGATCTAAGCAGATAAAAATCCTCCACAAAGACAAAAGGAGAGAGAGGCAAGAATGGGAGATCCAGGACAGAGCTTTGGGGTCTTCCTATTCCCAAGTACTGGACCAAATGGAAAGAAAGTTGTTTACATGCCAAGTCTGTAAAGCAGTTCCCCCCCATGTTATTCCTGATGGTATATCTCTACATAGCTTGTATAAGAACATAGCTATTTGCCCTCTAATAGACTCTAAAAACCCTTTATGCAACCGACGAAGGTATTTAAATACATCCGGAACTTGAAGACATCAGCATCATTTCAGATCTCTCAAGCACTTATTGCAGTAGCTACTGTTCCTCAACATGGGACCTGTCTTACAGAACTCACCACATGATATGTGTCTCTTTGCATGCCGAGCTCTGGTGTCTTGGAGGGAGTGGCTGGAACTGACTTTTCTTTCTATCACTGCACATAGCAGGCTACATTTTTTTTAAGGGAGAGAGGAAGGAGATATGAAGTTTTGCTTTATATTTAAGAAAATGACAATTAGACTCAGATCAGCTTTATATTTTTGAACTGGCTTCCAGTCTACCTCCAAGTATGGACCACCACTGTCTTCTAAGCAGCTGCTACTGTAGACCCCTTACCAATTCTCCCTCTAGAAAAGGATCGGGAATGGACAATCCAGGGTAGAAGGTGGGGTGAAAGGTATGATTAATACACTTTGACTTAAACATACTGTCTTTAAAGAAATTTGATCTTTTTTATAGAATGAGTTGTTAGAAATTCTTTTGTATCCCAAGTCACAAGCTCAGTTGCATTTAAATCATCAGTAGGACAAGCTTTAGCCTCTAAAGACAAAACTGAAAGAGTTAACTGTCAAGAGAGACGTGAAGCACTGTGTGCAAGTTGCAAGTTGCAAGTTGTAATTAAGAGTGCTATTTGGTAAGAAATACTAACATCTAGGACTTGGGATTTTATATGATGTATTTAGTTATTAAAGTGAACCTTTTTAAGTTTTAAGGATGACAGACTCAGGGTTTCTTTATATCACTGAGTTTTTAAAAACCAACAGTTTAGATTTTAGGAATTCAGTGGAGCTATGATAGAAGTGAAATTATGATGGTTTTCCAAAACTAATTTGTGCTTTACAAATATAAATATAAAATAGTTATTTCCAGATTGACTAGGATGACTATGGCTTGTCCTTGAAGCTCGGTGTTAAAGAAGAACTTAGAACTGCTGTTAGGAATAGCAGTTTAGTCCTTCTAGAAAAGACCTTTTGAATTTTGCCCGTGAAATTACCAATGACCTTCAGGAAGTGGATTGAAGGCATCTATAAGGGATCTTGAAGAAATGGAGACAGGGGCTGCACACATCTGAGATGGTAGCTGATAGAAAGTATTAAATGGAGGAAACCAAGACTTAAGCATAAAGATCTCCTGGGAGGCACAAGGCTAAGTCAGAGCGTAGGTTGGCATACTGGGTCCAGTTAGGCACTTCCTCTGAGGTTAAGGATAGACTTTTTAGTGTTATGTCTATGGCCTGCACTTTTTGTCTCAATCAGTAAAGACCAGGAATTGCATTAGGAACAATAACCTAAAATGGGGGGGTTACGGGGTTCTGTAGAAGGCAAACTGGGTTACTTTTGGAAATCCAGGAATTTTCAAAGAGTATTTAACCCCTTCCTGAAATATATTTTTCAGATCAGATATATTTTTGTGTAAGGAAGATTAGCCCTGAGCTAACATCTGCTGCCAATCCTCTTCTTTTTGCTGAGGAAGATCGGCCCTGGGCTAACATCTGTGCCCATCTTCCTCTACTTTATATGTGGGATGCCGCCACAGCATGGCTTGATAAGTGGTGCGTCGATCCGCACCCGGGATCCGAACCTGTGAAGCCCTGGGCTGCCGAAGCGCAGCATGCAAACTTAACCACTATGCCACCGGGCTGGCCCCTCAGATGTTTTTAAATACTTGTATTTGTTTAGAAATCTTTGTATACATGAGGAAAATATGTTCTCAAAGCATATTCTTTACAGGTGTGAAAATGGCATTAAGTCTTTCATAGAGCCTTTTTTTATTATAAAGTTTTAGGTATGTGTACAATCTGGGAAACAGAAAAGTATTTTAAAACTGAAAATGATCTCTCATACCACCACCTAGAGAAAACTACTACTAACATTTTAATATTGTTTCTACACCTTTCTTTGGCTCTGAAAAAACTGAGTCTATTGTGAAATTGTTCCCTCTGCTCCTAGGCACATGGCTACCCATTCACCCCAGAAATCTCACCAGTGTGCTCACTGTGAGAAGACGTTCAACCGGAAAGACCACCTGAAGAACCACCTCCAAACTCATGACCCCAACAAGATGGCCTTTGGGTGTGAGGAGTGTGGCAAGAAGTACAACACCATGCTGGGCTACAAGAGGCACCTGGCCCTCCACGCGGCCAGCAGCGGCGACCTCACCTGTGGGGTCTGTGCCCTGGAGCTAGGGAGCACAGAGGTGCTGCTCGACCACCTCAAAGCCCACGCCGAAGAGAAGCCCCCTGCTGGAACCAAGGAGAAGAAGCACCAGTGTGACCACTGCGAAAGATGCTTCTACACGCGGAAGGACGTGCGGCGCCACCTGGTGGTCCACACAGGCTGCAAGGACTTCCTGTGCCAGTTTTGTGCCCAGAGGTTTGGGCGCAAAGACCACCTCACACGACATACCAAGAAGACACACTCACAGGAGCTGATGAAAGAGAGTTTGCAGGCTGGAGACCTTCTGAGCACCTTCCACTCCATCTCGCCCCAGTTTCAACTGAAGGCTGCCCCGTTGTCTCCTTTCCCTTTAGGAGCTCCTGCACAGAACGGGCTTGCAGGTAGCTTGCCAGCTGAGGTACACAGCCACACCCACCACCCCTCGGAGCAAACCTCCCAGCCTGTACCACCGCTGCCAGAGCCCCTTGCCTCCCTCCACCCCGTAGCATCTCCTAGCTCTCCTCCTCCACCCCTCCAGAATCACAAGTACAACACCAGTTCTACCTCATACTCCCCACTTGCAAGCCTGTCCCTCAAAGCAGATACTAAAGGATTTTGCAATATCAATTTGCTCGAGGACTTGCCTCTGCAAGAGCCTCAGTCACCTCACAAGCTCAGCCCAGGTTTTGATCTGGCGAAGGGAAGTGCTGGTAAAGTGAACCTACCCAAGGAGCTCCCTGCAGATGCTGTGAACCTAACCATACCTGCCTCTTTGGACCTTTCCCCCCTGTTGGGCTTTTGGCAGCTGCCCCCTCCTGCTACCCAGAATGCCTTTGGGAATAGCACTCTCACCCTGGGGCCCGGGGAGTCTCTGCCCCATAGGTTAAGCTGTCTGGGGCAGCAGCAACAAGATCCCTCACTAGCCATGAGCACTATGACCCTGGGCCAGCTCCCCCTCCCGCCCATCCCCCATGTGTTCCCAGCTGGCACCGGTTCAGCTATCCTGCCTCATTTCCATCATGCGTTCAGATGACTGGTTTTGAGAGCATACTCTTCTCATCCTGAAAGATGTTTTAAGGAGCATTTTAAACATCAGTTACAATACAAGGAAAGCTTTGGAAAGCAGGACTGGGAATATGGCTTCTTCAGTGATGACTGGCTTTAGACAAGAGAGTTCTCGAACTGCGTGTATTGTGCCAATCTGTCCTGAGTGTTCAAGCTTTGTACCAAATTTAAGAAGCAAGTATTCTTTAATGGAACTGCGACTATTGTCATAACCGACATCCAGAGGGCTGCTATATCTAGGTGTTCGTCAACGTGAATTTTAATCGTAAGCCATGATCATAATAATGTTAACTAAGTAACTTTATGTGGCACTGCCTAGTAAGGGAACTATGGGAAGGTTTGGATTCCTCCACAATGGGAGAATTTTTCAAATAAGAGAATAACCTTTATATCGCATATTATAACTAGGCTGTGTATTTCTTTTCAGGGATTTTTCTACCTTCAGGGTTGGATGTAGTTTAGTTTCTATTGCCATAGCCAACCTGTAGTTTTACAGAAACAATGTCTTGTGGAATAATAGACGTCTCCATTTTAAAAAAGCATTTTAAATGTAGTTTGAATATTTTCCACAAGATGCTACAATGTGAGTTATCACTTCATTTATCTTAAAGACTAAACTGGTTGTCAGTTACATCTGACAGAAAAAAAAATCACTGTGTAACCAGGTTAAGTGGTAAAATAATCCAGGCGTCAGTCAAAAAAGCATTTCGCTGACTTTAATACTGATTATATTTTTAACAGGAATTTAAGAAAATATTACTGGAATTTAAATATATATATATATATTAAAAAAACAAGAATTTTCTTTGCTCTGTCTGGCTTAAAATACTACTCTGCTTAAGTATTATTTTTAATCACCAATAAATAAATGCATTTTAAATTCATCATTTAAGTCAATATTAGTTTTATTCAAAAGGGATAACATTTTGCAATGTAATTATAATCTATCTCTTGAATTTGGTATCTAATGAGTTTTAAAAATATAAAACCTAACCTTTTTTTAAAGCTCCTTTGTCTTTTGTGTTTAGAGGCTTTCTATATGAAGATATATCTTACATATAATAAACTCTACAAATCCTGCATATGGCTTGGTTAATTTTTACATACACCTGCACTGCGTTACGGTCCAGAGGGAGATACAAAACATTTCCGGCTCCCTAATGCCCTCTCCTGGCCATTACTTCCCCACAGAAACTACTCTTCTGACTTCTATTCAGCATCTATTAGAAACTACCTGTTTTTGAGTAAAATAATTATGACTTACGGTAGAAGCTTATATACTTCAGTTAAATTCACGGCCCAAGAACTTATTTCTAAAAAATATAACATTCTGAATCCTTCTACAATGTTATGTAATTTATTTCTGATGTATAGGTCAGACTACTGGCTACTGAAGTTGAGTCTACCCTGGGCTACCATGATCCAGTTTTACAATGGTGTTTACTATTAATTAATTTCTAGTACAGATTAGAAATTTACTGTATCGGGATTTCTTCAGAAAGTAGACTGTCCCCCTGAATCTGACAAGCCTGTTTATTATTTTTGCTTAAATACGGTGGGAGTGGGTAGAGAAAGGGAAGCCTTGAGTTCGTTTGCCCATCAAAGAAGCCTACTAGCCAAATGTGAGAAACCCTGGCTGCTCACAGCCCGTAACAGAGATGCTGATGAGGGTGGGCAAGCTACCCGGGGCTGGGCTGTCGTGTGTGGAGCTGACATGGCGGATCCTTAAACTACAGTTTAACTTGGGGGAGGAAACGAGACAAAGGGACATAAGTCACCTCATCAGTAGGCATCCACTGCTCGGGGATGTCAACGTCAGTCCCCACATCCCTTCTTACCTCTCCACGGGAAGCAACTCTCGCAGAGCAAGAGGGGAGAGAGCCTAGTGGCTCACCTCAGCTAAAGCCTCCCAAGATCCACTTTTATAGAAGCTTCTGCAAATACTTTCACGTGGCTTAGTAGTCTTCAGTCTGTTCCAGAACATACATATACCTGATTCACCCAGGCATGAAGCATTTGGTCCCCAAAATACAGCTCGTAAGCCTTTCAGATGTTGTGTTTGCTGCACTACAGGTGGGAGTAGCTTGGGAGTCTTGTATTTAAATTTAGACAAGAAAAATGGCTTAATTTCTAATTAAAGAAGTTCCCTGAGTTAAAAAAAAAAAATTCTTAGAATAAAAAGCATGAGTTAAGCATAAATGACTCTACAAGAAGAATTTATTAACCTTTAAGACGACAAAGAAGAAAAAAATAGTTGAGACACCACCTCCCAACATAGCTATATAAACTGTGGTGAAATGGACAGCTGATTTGTGATTTGGCCATGATTGATAAATGGCCTGAGGCCATGTAGAGCATCCTACACATGGCGGGAAGGTTATTGTAACCTGTTCCCTCTACCGCAGTGTTCCCCCAAAACCAACTGTGTGCACTGGTGTACGTGAGACAGTTCTACGTGTTACACAGACGGACATTTAAAACAGGAGTAGTAATGGGGCTGGCCCAGTGGGGGTAGTGGTTAAATTCATGCTCTCTGCTCCGGTGGCCCAGGGTTTGCGGGTTCAGATCCCAGGCGTGGACTCACGCACCGCTTACCAAGCCATGCTGTGGCAGGCATCCCACATATAAAGTAGAGGAAGATGGGCACAGATGTTAGCCCAGGGCCAGTCTTCCTCAGCAAAAAGAGGAAGATGGGCAATGGATGTTAGCTCAGGGCTAATCTTCCTCACAAAAAAAATAATAGATAAATAAAACAGGAGTAGTTACGAATTATAGTTTAGTGTTTATTAGCAGCAAATATCAAAGCTGGGATTTCACAGCCATTTTGTAGAATGAATCCAGGTAAAAAACTAATTTTCCTAGTAAGTAAATACTGCTAGTACTCCCAGGATTGTTTCACTAAAAGCTTCTAATATCGAAGCATTATTTCTTTAAAAGCCAATTAAAAAAAAGCTTTAAGTCCAATTAAAAAAGAATCTTTAAATCAAGCATCATCGTACAGGTTGATCTGTTGTTTAATGATTTTGTTCTGAAATTTTGAAGGGAGTAAATAAGAAACTTTGAAGCTAGTGTTGACTCAATCTACATGAGGAATCACGGGTATGTCAACAGGCGTCTCCGGCTCCTTCCTTAGGTGGCATTCCTGGGGACACAGCCGTCCAGGCTGATAAGTTACAGGGAGCCAGTCTGAAAGCAGAAAGGCAAGGCAGTTACTTGAGAACTTCATTGTTTCCACACTGAGAATGTCAAATAATATAGGCCTCTTTACATGTTTGTTTTAACAAACAATTCATGATATCAAAAAAGTCTCCAACTTCCTAGCAATCCTAGTCAGTGTCAGTCTCAGGGAACTGTCCCTTTTTTGGGGGAATGTGTTTGTTTGGAAAAAAGAGCAGGAGCCTTCCAGGTCAATATGAGAAATTATTCTCCTTTCCTGTTAAGTCAAGAATCAAAAACTGAATATCATTTTCAAACTATATGTTTAACAAAACAGTAAATTTCCAAGAGCATACATTTTATTAACCCAACTCAGGGTTTGCCCAGATTTCTCTTTGGGGGTGCCTGCTACGGATTCATTCTCTTATAGGCTCATTAACTGAGCCTGCACATTAGAGGATTAGCAACACCTGGATTCAAGGTTAATTTTTTTTCTTACCTGGCCTCTAGGAGTTAATCTTTTTTAGAAGATTTAGTAAATCCTTGTCTCAGTTTTGCTCCAGAAGCAGGGTCCACAGCTAATCCTTTGCAGACATGAACGGATTTGTTATGATGTAAACGCAAACATCAGCAAGAAAGAAAGGAATGATTATGAAATCCTCACATTGGACTCAAAAGTCTCTGTTCTTCCTTTTTGTTTTTGTTTTGTTTTGTTTTGTAGCTATAGACAAATACTCAGTCTCTGTCCTGGGCCAAATAATAAGGAAAACAGGGATTGTCTCAGGCGCCTTCTCTCCTCGGCCGCCAGCTCTTCCCTTACCATGGACGGGCCCCACGGACCGCCACCTCAGGGGGCCCCCCACTTACACAAGCTGACTCTCCCCACCTTTCCTCACTACGGCCCCGGCCTTCAACAGGCACCCCGACTACTTCACGTCTTCACAATTCTTTGCCTGCTCTCACGCTAGAAAGGGTTTGACAAGCCGTATGGAAGCATGAGACGCCTTCCCTCCCAGGGGTTATTTACGTAGTGATGCACTCATGCCACAAACAGGGTTCTCTCCCTTTGTGTCCAGCAGCACCGTCAGGGACGGAGATGTAGGAATTTATAGACAGAGGCATACCATACCATAGTCTGTTCTGGATCACTTGGTATGGGACAGGATTCTTAGAGAAATCATTTTTCCTAAAAAGGAGTAAGTCCCCTCTGTCCTCGAGGCCTCCTTTCTAATCAGTGTTTTACAAAGGGGGAGTAGCCAAACAAGTCAAGGAAATTGTGAGTCAAACTATCAAAGGACAGAGGAATAGAAAGAGCTTTCAGTGTTCGTTTTACTCCAAGATCTACAAGTTTTGTTTCTTCCAAAGAATCACCAGCTGACCCTTCGATAGTCATTGCATTTGCTACATGATTAAGTTAGGAAAGGAGGGGATGCTAGCACAGGGAAGATGCTTAACTTGCTCCAATCCACTGGCTCCAGAAATAAAAGCAGAGCCCACATCAGCAAAGCTGTAAAATGCAATTCACTAAATATGTGAAGCCATGCAGCTGGAGAACCCAGAACTACATTTTCATGGTGATCTTAGTCTCTCTGCGTAAAGGTACTGGAGAAGCTGCTGCTCAGAGGTACCTTCCCAGTAAATCAGTCGTTCTTATATCAAAACCCTTGAGAAAACAGCCACCAGTAGATATCTGCTGACCAGGCTATAAACTCATTTCCCATCTGAACACTGGAATCTGTGGGAATGAAAGAACAGCCACACTTTTTTCTAAAACAATTTCCTAATATATATAAAAATATATATAATAAATATAAATATATATTTTATATATATATAAATATAATTACCTCCTTGAAGTTTATATTTTTTGACCCAGTTTTCCCAAAGCAGACGAAGACTTGGTTGGCTCTACCATTTCCTATGAAATGACATGCTTTACCTCTCTGTGCTTCCCTCGCCTGTCAACTAGGGATATGAATAGTACGTTTGCCCCCTTGTGTTACTGTAAGGATTAAACGAGGGTCAATGAGGATTAATATATAAAGAGTGTACCATTAAGTGTGGACTATTGTCCATGAAGAAGGGAGTTATTTAGTATGGCAAAAGAGTAGAAACCATCTACCTGCTGAACGTCAGGAAAATAGTTAAATAAGTTACGTTGTATTCTTGTGATATTATTCTATGCTTTTAAAGAAACTCTTTTGCCATAGGGAAATGTTCAAAATTTGCTAGTGAAAATAATCAGGATACGTACATGGACTATGATCCTAACTTATATAAAAGAAAAACCAAAAGAAAGCAAGAGCATAAATAGAAAAAAATGGGAAATGATATCAATATTAAAAGTAGAGATGTCAGAGCGTGGAATTATGGATGATTTTTATTTTCTTTATACTGTTTCTTCATTTTCCAATATTTTCTCCAGTAAGCATTAATTTCTTACATGATAATTTCTTAAAATGCTCTTTCTCAAAAGAAATTTTTGCAGGCTAACTTAAAGTGGCTAGAAACGAAAAGTTCCTAGGCCATCATAATTGCCTAACTTACACAGACCTGAGTGCCTGACGACGTGACACCAGCGTTGGCATTAGTGACATAGTCTGGGCGCCTCACCAAGCATTTACGGCCTCCTGGCTCTAGAGCCAGCCTTCCCTTCTAGCTTTGATTTCTGTTCACACCCCAAATCTTTTCTATGCTTTGGCCAAATGGGCCATTTGTTTTCAGATATGTCCTCTGCATTCTCATTGTCATATCTTTGTTCCTTCCTTCTGCAACTTTTCTCCACTGGTCAAACTCGAGTTCACCCTGAAAGTTCATCCCAAGTCCTTCACCTCCACGAAGCTTCCTCTGGCTCAGACTGACACCTCCTCAGAAAGCCTCCTGGGCAAAGCTGCTCTCTTTCCTGTATTCCCTTAGGACTTTCACATCTAACTGTTAAATATTAGATATAATTATAGACTGCCTCTCCCCCTAGACTTTTCAGAATCCACCGGCATGAGAAACAACCACGCATAATCACTATGTGTTGAATGAATGAATCCTCATGAACATCCATGGCAGCTGTGTGTCAACTTAGGTAACATCACATGCTCTCCTGTATCAGGGATTTTCCTGCACATGCATATCTTCTTAGAAGGCTCTGGATGGACAAGGATTGTGACTTACACACATGTATCTCCCCTGACTGAGAATTTAGAACAAAACGCTATACATGGGAGATACATAATGCTTATTTTACTCAAGAGAGTTGAAGAATGAAAGCCAGAGTTTCAAGGGGTTAACTACCAGCTAGATGAAAGACAGTAACAGGATTTATGTGGAAGGCGGGTGACACCAAGTGGCATAAACTGCTGACTGTCAATCTAGAAATAGCAAAGCCCAACAACAACAATTTTACAAAGACCCTCGTGTTATAAATAGATGAATACTGACAGAACAAAAACAGTGGACAGTAGATGCGAATCTGAATCACACACGGGCCTGTTTACATCAGTGACAAGCACGTGGTGCTTTTCTCCAAGACTTCAACATTTTTGAGAATTCACCTCCCCTCCACACACTCCTGCTTCCTCCCCAGAATGGCTCTGAATAAAATGTGACTAATTTAAAGGCACACGAACCCTGGTGACTTTATTTTTAAACGTCAGCAGGTAAGACCACTGGAAAGAACAAGAAATTAAATTGAAAAAACATGTTAAGCCTGAAATAAAACAAAAAGCTATCTCCTAAAGCTAATTAACATGCCAATTTTACTCATATGCCAATAATTTAAGTGAGAAATGCTGGAATGAATATACCCACTTTCTCTCATGTATTTCATTCAAAAAGTTATTAACTGAACACCTCATATGTGTCACGAACAATTCTAACAGGTAGGGATATAGCAGTACAAAAAACAGACAAAGTAGACAGATCCCACCTTCTTAAAACTTACATTCCTTTTTTTTGGTGGGTGGAGAGGAAACAAACAAATATGTACTGACTATTAGATGGTGACAAATGCTATTTAAAAAACTAAAAGGAGAATTATAGAGGGCTTGACTGATTTCAAATACAGAGGTTGGGGGACTTCATTGTGAAGGTGACACTTAGCAAAGAACTGAAGGGAGTGAGCAGTGCAGAGTCGTGGGAGAGTGTTTTGGTTTTCAGCAGAGGAAGCAACCAGTGCAAAGGCCCTGAGGCAAGAGTGTGCAGGTCTGTTATGTTCAAGGAATAACACAGAGGCCACTGGAGCTAGACTGAGAGGAGACAGTGGGAGGAGAGGTCAGGTGGTAGTATAGAACCTAGTGTGGGCCACGATAAGAACTTTGCCTTTTACTTAACAACATCACAGTGGTTATAAACCACGATTAACTAGTCAAGAGCAAATACAATACCATTTTGCTTAGATGTACTGGCCTACTAATCTATTTTCTAATGTATCAGAATGGTGTCATTCTAATGTTCTGCTTAACGTCACGTACTGGGACATGGGACTTCTGAGTCCTAATTTAGGATCTTATGCCTTCCTCTAAAATTATTTAGTTCAAGGAAGGAAACTCTCCCCTTATTTTCAACATGACACCTGGCACGCTGTTTTCTCCCATCCTCAATCTCCTTCCAAGTTTACTCCACCAGGGAATGAAGGTCCCAGACTCTGCTGCTGAACTGGGCTCTAACATTGTACACTGTCTGAGTTATCTAATCCTGATGAATTAAGAAATATTCCCTCTTGGCAAATGAACTTTAACCTCAAACCTAAAGGAGTGCTTTTCACTGGAAGGGAAGCATTATAACATATTCTTTGAAAAAATAAGAAAACAAACATAATATAAGGAAGTTGTCTTTTCTGAAGGACACCAATCAATATACTTTAGAAAAAAGCTTGTTAGTGAGAGTTTTACCAAATGAATACACATATAATTTGAATTATTTTTTTCTAAGTGAAAACTAAAACCTACCCCATTGTTAAGTTTTCACAGATCAGGAAAAAACTAATGACTTGGGCGTAGAGGGCTGTGGGGAAATTTTCAAAATATCAATTCGATTTTTAGCCCTTGAGCAACTCATGAGAAATTTAAAAACTAATAATAGAGTTTTCTGGGGCTGTGACTTTATGAACTGTGAGACTGGCAGTTCTTACTCTGGTTCTGATCACACCTCCAAAATAAGACCCTGATCAGAGGTGCCAATATGGTCATGAATTAATTCATATGGCCTTCCTGGTGTGTGCCCATCATAAAGAAGAATGCCACGTTTATTACTGCAGTTCAGTGATGAGGGCTGGCACCACAGACACCTAATCCAGCTCTGCTGTTCACCACTTGTGCGCCTAGAACAAATAACTTATTCTCTATGAGCCAGGTCCCTTTCTGCAGATTAAAACACTTGGAGGATTACTGTGCAGATTAAATGAAATGGGTCTAGCACATAGTAAGTACTGTAATGGTGGTTATGCCTTTCGGCTACTTTGAAGAAACTATTTAGTTCTAGGAAGCAAACACTTCCTTTCTTCTTTCAGCCTCACTGAGATTAATTGAATATAACATTGCCTCACTGAGATTAATTGAATATAACATTGCGTGAGTTTAACGTGTACAATGTGATGATTTGATACATGTATATACTGTGAAATGATGACCACAATAAAGTTAGTTAACACATCCATCACCCCACATAGTTAACTTGTGTGTGATGGGAACATTTAAGATCTACTCTCTTAGCAACTTCCAAGTATATAATACAGTATTGTTAACTATAGTCACCATCCTCTATATTAGATCCCCAGAACTTACTCATTTTATAACTGGAAGTTTGAACATCTGACCGTCATCTCTCCACCTCCCCCACAGACACCATCCCTGGCAACCACTATTCTATTCTCTGTTTTTATGAGTTTGACTTTTTTAGGTTCCACATATAAGTGAGATCATAGAGTATTTGTCTTTCTCTGTCCGACTTATCTCACTTAGCATGATGTCCTCAATGTCCATCCACGTTGCCATCTACAGATGGCAGGATTTCCTTCTTTTTTATGGCTGAATAATATTCCATTGTGTATATATACCACAACCTTATCCATCCATCCATCAGTGGACACTTAGGTTGTTTCCATATCTTGGCTATTTGAAAAATGCTGTAATGAACATGGAGTACAGATATCTCTTCAAGATAGTGATTTCATTTTCTTCCCCTCTTTTCAACACAACACCTGACACACTGTTATCGCCCATTCTTAATTTCTTTTCAATTTTACTAGACCAAGAAATGATGGTTCTAGACTCCGCTGCTGTCATCAGATCTGACTTTGTATATTGTCAGTTATCTAATCCTGATAAATTAGGAAATATTCCTTCTTGGCAAATAAGCTTTAACCTCAAACAAACCCACACTTCTTTATCTCCAAAAGCAACATTAGATGTCATAGCTTTTGCCAACTGCCTACACATCACAAGCCAACAGTGGTCCCCTCTGACCCCGTCATTCGATAGCTGAGATGCTCACTCCGACTCACCTGGCCTGGTTGGGGTCACACTCGAGGCCTCCAGGGCCCTGTTGTGTAGCAGAGCTCCCACAACTCTGGTGACGGTCGGTTCTTTTCTTGGAGTCATCTGAGCCCTACCCTACAGAGAGAGGGAGCAGTTCTGTCAGCTCAGGGAGCACACAGGAGGTGAAGCTGTTTCCACTCCATCAGCAGCAGCATGGAGTTATCTCTGGGCACCTGCTGCACCCCAGGGAAGAGGACACACACACCCTGCACCTTAGTTGGCCTGGTCCTGTCCCCGCTGGTGGCGCTCACAGCCATGGTCAGGGTTCTGGAGCTCTCATTCCATAATCAAGCCCTTGGGGGAGTGGTGATATGTTAATTCTGTGAAATTAGTTGCATGGAGACATAAGAAATCACTTAACGTCAATAAGGAGAGTTATGGAACATTTTGGTTTTTCATTACACTTGAAGATGATTTTGTTTTTAAATACATGAACAGAGAAGAAAAACAGACACTGGCAGGCAACAAATGTTTTACACATGGAATTCCAACATCCCCACACCACACACCTCTCCGCCGAGCGGCAGCAGCAGAGTAGCTACGATAATATAGAACAAAGACCAAAAGGCTCCCTGGGAGCTCGTTTTCACCTTGCCGCTGATGCCACTAACACTTCCATGGAAACTACAGGATAAAAAGAACCTGTTACTCCGAGGGAGAATTCTCACATGGGCAAGGCCGGCGACGGGATTACAGCTGGCAGCTCAGCCCCATCCACACACAGCAAGCTATTCTCAGGGGCCCACATCAGTCTCTTTCGGTTAAGGGTAGAGCACATGTGTAAAGTCGATTATGTTTAAAATAGAAACGCGTTTCAGCTGTGCTGTTAACAGCCCTTCGACGCTGAAACAGGCCCTCCCTTTCTGTTCCACTTCTGAAGGAGCTTCGCTGCCGGGCAGGGCCGCGTGGTGGAAAAGGCGCCAGGGCCACAGGCACTGCTGCTCAGATGCACTCCAGAGCGAGCGCACTCAGAGAGCAGGCAGTTTCCCTCTGTGTTCCCCATGACCACTTAGCTCTGGAAAACAAGGAGAGGCACGGGGCCAAGTCACTGGTTACACTCAGGACGGCCAGCTGGCCTTCTTCAGGAATAAAAAGCACTTCCGTTTGCTGCTTCCCGGTGCTCCCTCTGGCCCCACTAACGCCGAATGACTTCGTGAACTGGTTAGAAGAACCATTCGAAGAAATGTAACGTGCCCCTTACTGCTTTAGAAAGTATAGGCAGGGTTATACTTAGAAAACCTTTCCAAATCTAAGCTGAATACAAGCCCAAAGCTGTCATATCCCCCCCACAAATTGTGGTGCCTATCCCACCAACAGATACCAGAGAGGGGAAGAAGCAGGGTGTGGAAAGAGGAAGGCAGAGGAGCTCCTATGGGCAAGGCTCTTGACTTATAGTATTATCTATAATCCTCCCAACAACTCGGCAAGGCACAGATTAAAGTGAGTCTCAAAGAATTTAAGTAACTTGTCTAAGTTGATCTACAGATAACAAATTATCGAACTGAAAGTCAAACCCTGACTACTGATCGCAGAATCTGAGCTCTCTTTCTACACTGCACCACCTCTCATGCTATTTCAGGGGTAAAGACTGAATCTCTACAACTATCTTTCTCATAACCACCCTGCCTGCCCCACCAACACATCCGTCCCCTCCCTGCCGTGTTCCTTTATCTGGATGTATAGCAGTTTTATCTGCCCAGGCTCTGGAGCTAGAAGTCCTTCTTGTTAACCTGATCTTCTTTTACTCTGTGTCCAATCAGCTTCTCAGTCTCATCCATTACTTCTTAAATTCTCCCTCCTCACACATCCCATTAGTCCTCTTACTCAGGGCCCTCATTCCTTCCCTGTTGCTGTGGCTCCCAACTGGTCTCCCACCAATCCATCTTGAACACTAATTGGAAGGGCCATCTTTCTGAAATATCAATTCCACGTCACTCCAGACTACACTGTTCAACTAGTCTACACTGCCTACAGAATGACACTTGAGGCCAGTAATAGACAACTGGACAGAAAAGCGAATTAGGCAAGTCAGTCTGCAGAGAGAAGAGTACGCAGAAGCACAGCAGGAAGAAGAGGTGGGACGGAAGGACGGAAGGAGGACTTCCTAGGTTCCTGGGGACTTTCCAGTGCCTGCTTCCAGGTGCTTCCAGGCCCTCAGGTGGGCTGGCCTCAGGTTTTAGGGCATCTATCCTCTTAAGTCCCCTTTTCGCCCTCTTTGAACTAGCTCGAGTTAAAGCCCTTCCGGATCTGACATCCACCTTGCCTGTCCCAACCTGTCACTCTCCCACAAGCACTCTATGCTTTAGCCCCACGTGCTGGGCTCTTCAGGCCATGAGCTGGACATGTTATGCATAACGTTCTTCCAACTTCAACTCTAGGCTGGTGAACCCATTTGATATTTAAAGGAAAAATGTTTGACCCTCTCTTTGAAGCCTTCCAGGAATCACAGCGGCCTCTTCCTCCACAGTGCTCCTCTATAGGTCAGCTGTCACACCTGCATCCTGCATTGTTTCCAAGTCCTCCTCCTCCTCTGATTTACAGCTTCCTGATCAACCAGCACCTAGCACAGTGTCTGAGAGAGTAGATATTCAACAACTGTCTAATGTATTGGGAGATAGAGCTCGGAACCTGTAGGCTATGGGATACGCTACTGTTGGAGAGGGTCCCACCCTGCTTAGATACTAGAGATTGTGGAAATCCTTCTAAACCTGTTCCATACTCTTTAAGTATTCAGACCAATTTAATCTTTTTTTGGTGTCTGAGCCTTGTTTATGAAACTAATGATTTTTATGCTAAACTGTAAGTTATGTCCCTGGGACTTGTGATGTGTACGGAGCCCTTTGCTTGCTCCAGTTCTGTTTTTATAAATCTATTGCCTTCCTGGTCAAGTTGTCATTTTACTTATTTGCACCTATTTATAACAGTTGCTTCCATTTTTCCACTTTAACTTGCTGACTCTATGGTTTTAAATGAAAGGCTGCTCCACAGAGCAGACCTCATGACCTGTAGGACAGCTCTTCCTTGTGACAGCTTCTCCCACTCAGGCCAGCTTCACTTCAGGTTCACAATTCTTTTCTGAGTGGTTAAGGCTGATCACCACCAGTGGATAGATGGAGTTTTATTATAATACTATAGAAACACTACTTACATATTCATCCTAAGAAGTTTTATAGACATATTTTTTCCACAACACCCAAAGGTGCTGTTAGCTGGGAAGCACGCCTCAAAAGAAACCAAATCCCATGAGGATGAGTGACAGCGGTTGGCTATCTTGAGACTTACGTTTCTCAGGATGGGTACTTTAGGTTCCCCAGCAAATTCTTCCTGCTTGCCCCAGGCATGCAAGGACACAGAGTGAAGACCTGGGGAGAGGTATTTACCTGCGCTCTGGATGCCAATTTGGCTGCCATCTGGGCTGGATCAAAGACTCGGCGAGAAGACTGATCCTTGCAGAAATTAATATGTCGATTGGCTGCAGTTTCATTAAACCTCCTCATACAATATGGGCACTGGATATAATCTGAATGTAAAGATAACAACAAAAGGCAATTGACATTTCAAAAACAACTCTGGAATGGACTGTACAAAATGAAGTAAATAGGATGGGAACTCTGCTCCAACACGAAAGAACAAGGTCCCAAACTCTGGTCTGAGAAAGCCTATTCCAGAGGGGCAGGCAGGCAAGGGCTCAAATAAAGGATACAGCAGGGGAAAATTTACTACCTATGTACTTATTTCAATTAAGAGTGTGCCCTTAAAATGTTTACATGGTATGGTTTTTAGAAAACAGATTAATTATATTTAGGAACTTCTCAATTAAATGAATTATTTAGTTTATCCTTATGTGAAGAAAGTCGTCCTGGAACCACAGAATGTTAGTACTGATGATACTGAAGGGCATAGAAGATTCACAAGCCCCGGGTTGTGGTAGCGGGTGGGACAGAAGGCAGTATAGGAGTTACGGAGCTCCAGAGAGTGAGATGTTTCAGAATGTGGCTTTGGGGGAAGGGATTTGAAGCCAATGTCACCAGCAGAAAGATACACACTGCTTCTGCAGTGCTAGATTTTTTTCACTGAAGTCCTAAGTCAGGAGGCAAATCATATGTTCAGGAAGGAGGCAGCAAAAGGAAAAATGTGGGGGTTCCAACAAGAGAAAGAGGAAGAAGGAGGGGTGATAGGAAAGTGGCTCCAGAAACAGCCTTGGCTCCCAGTGTGAGAACGTCCCAGGCAGCGCTGTGGGCACGGGTCCACTGCAGCTCTGTGCAATGCCAGCTGTCTCACTGTGGCTCTCACTGGCCGTTACCAGACAGTGAGAGAAATGGAAAGTGAGGAAGATCCAAGGTCTTCTTAGAACATGGAAGATGCTCATAGCAAAGCCAGGTTGGAGCCTGACCGTCTAAAGCAAGCAGGGACTTGGGGTTTGTTTTTGCTTTATTTTGTTTTGATTTGTTTTAGGCATCTTCAAGGGATGACAAGCGGATAGGAGCCACATAAGAGAATAACATCCCCCCAGGAAGGAGCTGAGATAGCACCGACCTTACATGCTATATGGAAGTTTGGGTTACTGTATAGTCAAAATTCCTATATGTGTGGATGGATACTGAAGGCAGCTGTGTCTTCATAGTTAGTTCTTTGAAAGCATCTTTTTCAGCAGTTTGAGAAGTTTTCTACATGAACAAATCATTTCATAAAATGTAAGAACTGGAATATGTAAGAAATGTAAGAAACTGGAATGTCATAAGAGGTTAGCATTTAGCCTAACCTTTCATTTCACACTCTGGAAGGCAGTACTCAGTCATGAATTCCACACTTATTGGACACCTGTCATGTCCCAGGCACTGTTTTATACTTGAGGATACGATGTCTCTGCAATCAAGGACTAAGCATTCTAATACAAAATTCTCCCACGGTGGCAAATTCCTTGGACAAAATAAAATAGGACAGCATTGGGAAATGATGAAGGTTCTGCGCCTGTCTGACTGGTTTTGAGCCCGAGCTCTTCCCTTGCTACGTGTGTGAACCTGGGCAAGTTACTCAACCTCCCGAAGCTGCAATTTCCCCAGGACCCACATATCACCGATTTCATCGAGTTGCTGTGCAAGTTCATGAAGATAATCCATACCAGGGCTTGGCACAGAGAGCGGGGTGGAACATACTATTACTATAAGGAAACAGGCCCAGCAAGGTTGTGTTTCCAACTACCAAACAGGAGTGAAACTGTTGAAAAAAAGTAAAATAGAGAGTGCCATTATCATGCAGAACTCACTTAAAGGGTGGAGAAAACCACCTAGAACCTGACTCTTGGTTTGGTGGTGGTTTCTTCAGTTTTACCAGCAGAAAAGTCAAGGCTTGTATCAGAAATGCTGCTACCATCAACCCTGCTCAGATTGGGCAAAGACAATGATTATGGCAGTGACAGACTGCTTCCTTAATCCCACTCGTTCACTAACACCCTTCTGCATGTTTGGCAGCATACGCCACCATGGAGACAACAAAGCTGAAGTATATTTCCTTGCGGACAGAAATCTCAGAGACGACCGCAAGACTAGGCAAATAAGCAGACAATGACCACTGCCTGGGATAAGCTTTCAAAGGAGGAAGCACAGGGTCCTGTAGAGCCCACAGGAGGAACATGAAGCCCAGACTTAAACAGGTAGAGGAAAGGAACTGCAAATACTTTGAGAACGGAAAAAGTATTTTTCTACGACAATAATCTTAACCCAACACAACTGAGCTACATGTTCTTCCCTCATCTCAATCTGAGTCACCTCTTCCTCTATCAATAATGATGTCACAGAAATCACTCCATGCTATTTACTTCAATAGATAATGATTTTAAAAGTCTGACTACAAATGGACTCTTATAAGGACTATAGGGAATGTGGCCAGATCTCATAAAAAATAAATAGAGAAAGAAGCATCATTTTAAAATTGCAAGGCTTTTGTTGAGCGCCCACATCTATGCAGCCCTGTGAAATGGAGACCAAATGTCCCAGCCTCTCAGAAAATCCCAATTATAAATATTCTATATCACTGTCGCCATAAACTGTCACAACATCCTGGAAAGTTGAATGAGTGGCAGACTTACTTAATCAGTAAGAATTAGAATAAATATATGCATGTCACAAAAACTGAGTCATGAAATAGGAAATCTTGCTGAAAAAAAAAAAGGAAATTACTTGCAAACTCATGCATACTAGGCCATATTATATATAACTCCAGTTATGTCTGTGTAAATTTTCTGGTATTTAAGCCTGAGAATATATGGGCTAATATAAAATCTCTGCACAATCAAAATAATTGAATAGTAATGAAAATGTGCTATTGTAGGTAATCATTTTGCTTGGTGCATAAAATTATAATAAGGGCACAGGGAAGAATTTAATTATAAAACCATATTTTAGCACAAAAATGTAAAGGGCAAAAAAATAAACTGTACTTTTCATGAAGCCTTACAAAGGGACTTATTTATTTTAAACAATATTAAACAATAATATTAAATAATATTAAACAATAAACCCCACATTTTAAATCCAACAGGGAAATGAGAGAAATTCACAGAGCAGGACATGTGACAGGTTTCACTTATTCAACTAAGGTAGTTGATAGCCATCAACCCTGTAGCTTCTGCTATTTAGATGAAGTATTTATCATAAAAGATATTTTTGTTATATAAAGCTTGTTGCCAAAGTATTATGAAAATCACAGCCATAGATCTTTTTACTGAACATCTTAAGACAACACCTTATTTTAAGCTATATTTTCACTAGCACCCTGCAAAAGTGAAGCAATTATTAAGATTATTTTCTGGATAGAAGTTCAGGTGATTTATTTTTCAGATGATTTTATAGTATGATTACACTGTGGTTTTTGGTTTTGTTTTCTTACTTTTTAAAATGAACTTGGAGGAATAATTTATGTGGAATAAAACACACCTATTTTAAGTGTACAGTTCAATGAGTTTTGACAGACATATACATTTGTGTAGCCACTCCAGTTAAGATATAGAACAATTCCACCACCCCAAAAGTTCCCCCAGGCCCCTTTCCAGTCAATATGCCCCCAAACCCAGTCTCAAGCAACCAAAGATCTATTTTTGAAACTGTCACCAAAGGTAAGTTTCACCTGTTCTATAATTTCCTATAATGGAACATCCATGTTGCTGCATGTATCGTAGCACTTTCTTCTTACTGTTGAGTTGTATTCCATTTTGTAAATATTTCACAATTTTTTTATCCATTCACTTGTTGATGGATATTTTCAGTTGTTTCCAGGTTATACCATATAAATAAAGCTATGAACATTAATATGTCTTTTTTAAGGACACGTTTTTAGTTTTTTGTATAAATACCTAGGAGTGGAATTGCTGTATAGGTAAGAGTATGTTTAAGAAAATACCAGCGCACAGTGGCTGTACTATTTCACACTCCCATCAGCCATGAGGAGACTTCAGTTGTTCCACATTCTCACCATCAGTTGAATTGTCAGTCTTTAATTTTAGCCATTCCAGTGGGTATGTAGTGGTATCTTATTGTGGTTTTAATTTACACTTCCCTGATGAAAATGATGTTGAGTGTCTTTTCATGTGCTTGTTGGCCATTATTTTCTGACGTGTCTTTTCAAATACATGTCTTGCCTTTTTCTTATTGGGTTGTTTGTCTTCGTATTATTGAGTTGGAAGAGTTCTTTAAATATTCTTGCTATGAGGCCTTTGTTAGATATATGTATTCCGAATATTTTCTCTTAGCCTGTGGCTTGCCTTTGCATTCTCTTAATGATGTCTCTCAAAACTAAAATTTTTAATTTTGGTGAAGCCCAATTTATCAATTTCCTTTTTTAATAATTGTTAGTGCATTCTGTGTCCTGCTTAAGAAATCTTTGTTGACTCTTAGATCAAAGACTTTTGTTTTTTCTAAAAACCTTATAGTTGTAGCACTTATGTTAGGTCAGTGATCCATTTTGAATGAATTTTTCTATATGGTGTAAGGATCAAGGTTCATTTTTCCCATATTGATATCTAGTCATCCCATTATCATTTGTTAATAAGACTATCCTTTCCCATGTTGAATTACCTTTGTCAAAAATCAGTTGCCCACAGATGGGGAAAAGTCTTTACCTAGATTCTCTTTTCTGTTCAATTGATGCACCAGTACCAAACTGTCAAGATTACTGTGACATTACAGTAAATCTTGACATCAGGTAGTGTAACTCCTCTGATTTTATTCTTTTTTCAAAACTATCTTGGCTATTCCAGATTCTCTGAGTCCCAATATAATTTTAGAATCAGTTGGTCAATTCCTGCTTGGCAAAGAAAACTTGCGGGGATTTTTATTGGAATTACATTGAGTCCACAGATCATTTTGGGGAAAACTGATATCATAACACAATACCAAGTCTTCCAAACCATGAAAATGGTAAATCTTTCCATTTATTTTTGGTCCTCTTTAATTTCTCTAAGCAACGTTTTGTGGTTTGCATTTTACAAGTCTTACACATAGTTTGTTAAATATATACTTAAGT